CATTGAGGCAACCGGTCATCTGACAACCCTGGAGAGTATAGATAACATGAGTCGCTCGTAAAAGATGATACTTTATCCTTAGCTATTAGTAACAAACGGCCATCGTGACAGTTGGTAAGCGGGGCCAGCCAGCAAGCCAGAATATCTCTTGTTTCAGAACCTGATAACCTCAGTGCGTGCAGTGAACGTAACATTAATTTTTCCACGTATGAAGAGAACAGCGTCGTCACGAGCTTCTCAATGCAGCGGATTTACTTCCCTGAAGGGTTTTAATTTTTTATTTTACCAATAGAACTATGCTTTTATTGAAATATTTTTTGGAAAGGAAAAGTAACTTTTTATTAGAATGTATTTAAAATACGATAAGAAGATTTAATTTGCATCCTTGTGATATCCACTATGAAACGGTAGAAACGATTAATTCTATTTACGCATATTCTTTTCTCTTTTTCACTCATTCATTTATTCACCATTATTTTTGCACTTTAGATAAATTATGCCGTCCTATATGTGGCATGTTTTACGCCTTCATAGCAGTGCGTGCTTTATTAATTAATTTTGGTTCTGTTTAAGTGTGTCGTGTATAGTTATATAAAGGGCCGGGGGACGGTAAAAAATTGACTGTCAACAACTGCTTATTAGAAATAAATAATGACAGCTCCTTAAGATAATCAGAGAACATATGCTATTGATTCTGACCTTGAGTAACAGCGAGAAAGTCGTTTGTTGGTCATCGGAAAAATTGTTGGTTTCGTTAACAGTGGACATGTCGTGCTTGTTCAGTTCACAAGTTCCTTCTTCTTTCCCCTTGAAGGAAAACTTGAAGTTGGTGGAAGTACACCAGGTGTTTCTCTGACATTGCTGACCACAAGATAACAAACTGGGTGAATCAAGCCGTTTGGCAACATATCCATTGAGCTTCCTATTTTGCAAGGTTTCAAAAAATGAAAAACGAGAAATTTTGGGGTTGTCTTCGGCGGAAAAACGTAGATTACTCAACAAGAATAACAATGCAACTGTCGTCTTCAAAGCCATATCTTGTTCTGTCGCACTATGGAATAGTCTACAGCTTGTAATAACACTTCCAGCGTTTCGAAGTTGGAATAAAACTTGTAGCACCATGTGGCTTTTGGTAACAACTAATAGCGCCGCGCACGAATGACGCGAAAGTGATTAATTTGCAATTTTTGTCTGAGTTTTGACATTTTCCTCACCTTAATGACAAAAGATACACAAAAGTGAGGGATTGTCTAATGTAAATTTCAATTTGTTTGTCTGAGTTTCGGGTCTGTTTACAGTAACAGCCCAAAGCGCTACTGCCCCACTACTTTAACGAAAATGTCAACAAAAATCTTGACGCTCCGCGAGAAATTGCATCCTAGCGATTCACCAAGTCTTCAGTTTTCCATTCAATTTAAAAGCCTCTAATCATGCTCTAGCAGTCTTATGTCATGAACATATTTCGCCTTAAAAGTGATGAACTGGCTGACAGCGAATTAGCATATATTCCGGAAATTAAAAAACGTATTCCAATTCTTTAACTCCTCATGGGACAAAAAGCTGCAAAGTTTCACGCAATAAAAAGATTTGCATATGTGACAGGATGTGTTACTGTTTTTTGCTGGAAATGAAATAGAAAAAAAAATTTCCTCGAATAGGCTGACGGTTATCGATTAGAAATTTAACAGACGACATCAATAGACAAAAATATCATGGTGGTAGAACTCAAGGATCTAGCGAGCAGGAAAGTTTTAGCAGACACTACATACATATACATACATACATCTATCACTTTTATGCCGTTGACACTCAGCTATATATTACGTTCAGGACGTCGTCTGTTTCTGGTATGAATCTGAGTAACACCAAATTGGTAAACTGTGTTCGGGACATGGATGCATGGATGCTTTCCCACAAGCTCAAATTAAATAAAGACAAGTCTGAAGTTCTCGTAATATCCTTTTCCCATTGACCTCGGCCGCCACTGTCTTCTGTTAATATATCAAATGAGACCGTATCCTGCTCCCCCAGGGCACGAAATATTGGTGTTATCTTTGATCAGTCCCTTTGAATGGTACCTCATGTCAATGCAGTCTGTAAATCGTCCTTCTTCCATCTTCGTAAATATCTTACTTATGATGTAGCAAAGATCATTATTCATGCCTCCGTAGTTTCTAACTTGATTATTGTAATTATTTATTGTACGGCCTACCATCCTATCGTATTCGAAAGCTTCAACATGTTCAAAATTCTGCCACTCGCCTTGTACAGCCAGTGTTCAAGATTTTGCCATATTACTGGAGTCCTGAGAGATCTTCACTGGCTCCCTGTTTTCCTTCACATCAAATTAAAAATTAGATTACCTACAAAAGTGCTTCATGATTGCGCTCCAATCTATATACAGGAACTCCTTCAATTGTATACACCCAACCGCAATCTTAGATCCTCTAATAAAAATCTATTAGTTAAACTCTTTTTCAATCTCAAATCATATGGTAAACGAGCTTTTTCTATTGCTGCTCCGGAACTTTGGAAGTAACTTACCGGAGGATATTAAATCTGCAAACTCAATTGACGATTTTAAACGCAAACTTAAAACATTTCTTTTTATTCGAACTTATGAATCGTAATGTTTATGAATCGATATCTATCGTGTACATTTATCTATTGTGTAGTTAGTGCCTAGTTTTAATGTCAATTTCTTGTGATTATTTTTACTTTTTAGCTTTATCAAATTTTTGTGAACAACGCCTTTGAATCTTGTAGAAAAGGTGCTATATAAATGGATTATTAAATAGATTATTATTATTATTATTATTGTTATTATAATGTATTCATACATATAACTTTATTTAAACTCGGATTTAGAATAGCTAGAGGGCTTGTATCTCCGAGTATGATACCCACCCATCCCACCCCAGGGGAGGACTTCCACCACACAGTAATCTTGGCGTGGGAAATTAACGTCTCCTACCCCTAACCCTGCAGGAGACGGGGCCTACGGTTTATTCGTCCTTATCCGAGAAGAGTAGAATATCTATCCATTTCTTGATATTATAGAAAGAAAGCAAATTCTCCTCAGCTATTCTAAGACCATGAGTATTGGTCCGGGCGGGGCAGTGTCTTCAAACTCCAAATTGTAGCCTGCAGAGCACGCGTAGTTTTGGCGGGAGTGTGCTAAGTATTTTCTTGACGAGAATTACGGCCGTCATCTTTGAGTTTAACAGAGCCTGAAGGCTGGGGAGAAAAAGAAATTTGAACCAATAGGGGCGAGCGACTATGAAAAGATATTGGGGGGATGAGGGTAGGGGAGTGCTCCTTCCCGCCCCCGCTCCCCCTACCGTAGACTCTAACTTCAAATCAATGTTTAATTAAGCTTTATCTAAGGACAAATAGAAAGCGTACCTCGCACTTTCGGGACTATTTCTTTAGTAGACATTACACAAATATAAATTGTGTAATTCCACATTATACAAATGATTTGTATAATGTGGAATAGTATCCCTAATGATATCAAGTTGGCTGAATCCTTGGGTTCATTCAACTGCCAACTTAAATCATAATTTTTTTAAGCGTCTTTATAATGCTTTCGATGGGGACAACGTTCGTTCATTTAAGATTATCTGTCCCAAATGTAGAAGAGTAAAGTTATGGATCGGGAAATGGTATTTTTTTGTTGTTGTTGTTGTTTTTTTTTTTAAATTATAATTACCAAAGGGCTGGGCTAGTTGTCGAATCTTGTGGGAAACATAATGTCTTATTATTCGTACTACCCGTACATTGTAATTAGTGTGCAAATCGTTACATAAGTATATAAATAAATAATAAACTTAGCCGGTTGAATGAACGATCGCGCGCTTCTTGATGTTAACTCGTCCTAATAAGAC